ACGAAAACACAAAGCCAAATTTATGAAACAAAACTTGCAATACACAGGCATAAACATGGCAATTAGATGTTTTATTTCCTCTTGCTAGGAAGTGTAACTACAAGTACTGCTAAGCACGTTGTTACTAAATGCTAGTAAAACATCTGTGAATGTAAGAATACATTAGTTTGGATAATTATAACAAAACACTTTCAGTCCTAAAATTGCTGCAGGTCGAGGCCAATGGTCACACAAGAGTATTTCAGATGCACCATTTACAATGATTACGATTTCCAAAAACAAATATCTGACTTCAATCGTTACATCACTCACTTGCACTCCAAAAGTGAATGTTCGTAAACTTACAGTTGTTTCTGAAATGAGAACATAATATTCACTCACTCACTCATGGAGCTGAGACTATCTTGAGAAGTCACTAATTGTGCAGCTATTCAAGAACATCTCAGCATTTTTTGGCAACCTGCAGGTTTATTACCATGTTCACAAGAACCTTCCACTAGTACCTATTCTGAGCCAGATGAATCAAAACCATACAGTACCATCCGATCTAAGATCAATTTTAATATTATCCACCCACCTACATCTTGGTCTTCCTCGTGGTCTCTTTCTTTCTGGTTTTCCTACCACTATCCTATATGCATCCCTCTTCTCACCCATTCATGCAGAAGATATTATTGAAGAGTTTAAATATGTAAGAAATTTTGAAAAAGAAAAAAAAACAAGGCATTTTATCAATTTAATGATCAGACATCAAAAACCACCCTTGAAAGAAGACTTGTCAAAAAGAGGATGTCTAATGACCCTAATTGTAGGGACAATGGCGCTTGAATCTTCCGTTCTACCTACACTCCTCCAGCTTCCTTTGGCCTATGTCAGCCAGTCCAAAGCACTTGTTACTGATGGAGGTTAGCACACTACTATCTCTAGCACCACTTCTATGAACAGAATTGCAGGTGAATTGAGGGGTGGGAATATAGGGAAATTTCTACACTGTACAGTTTTTACATTATAAAGTTACAGAACAACTTTTATTATTGTATGGATACTATAATATGGATACTTACTTCATATGTTCCACTTTATACTTTGGCACATAACAAACATCAGAGTCACATCCTTCACGCGGAACAAGAGCCATCAGCTGCTTCCATGCATCTCGAATCTCTAACATATGAACCAGATCATACACAACTCCTGGGGCTGGTTTCCGGATTAACGAACTTCCATCCATTATTAAGCTACATAAAAATTAAATCGTGTTTCAAAAGCAAATATTAACATAAACATTAATTACTGACACAATGCAACACAACGGTTCCACTTTGTAATAAACAGAATATAAATAATGACATATAATGACTACTAATACTTCTTGTTAATATGTATTTAATTCCTGTCTCCGTGTCGTAACAGAATTTGAGGTTAATAACTTGCTAATGGTAGTAAATGGAGTAATTAAAATTATTTGAATTTTGCGTTGCAATATTAAATACTGCTGTTAATGCAAACAGCGTGCTGGATTTTGTAATATTACCACTACTCAGTAAAATTCGTAATAAGTTATCTGAAACTACACCACAACTTCTATCACTTTCCATGAGTTTACACCGAACAACACTCAATAATGTATGATGTGCAACACGATATTTTTCGCACGGAATACTTTCAAGATACGACTGTGCCGCAATCTTCTCGTGAGGTAATTCTAGGTCGGTCTCCGGGCTCAGTCGACAGTGAGTCTAACTATTATACTGCTGCCTTAAAACAATCTTAATCTGCATCATATTTTTAGAACAGTACAACGTAAGGGCTACAAATATTCCTCCACACCAGTCTGACGAAACACATTTCTGCTTCCTATCTCTTCAAGTTCCTTAAAGCTCTTTAACCTGCCCTGATTGACACCCCAATGTTATTTTCTTTATTGTAGAAATAATATTGTAAATACAAAAAAGGCCTAGGCAATGCCCATCCGGTCTTCTGCAGCACATTCTTATAAATATCTTATTCTATAATAGCGGTATCCGCGCGATTCTTAATATTAGATCTAATTTTAAATCTGAGAGTATGCTGTTAATAATCAGTACAATTACCTCTTTTACTTTACTTACGTATCTATTTTATATAAACATAGGGATGATGATTATGAAGTAACAGATGCCTTGCAGAAATCTTTTTTCTTCTAGCCTTATGACCTCTATAACTGACTTTGGGTATTCTTTTTATCCTGTACTTACTTACTTATGGAGAAGAGACCGTCTTGAGGAGCCACCAAATCTCCAGCTACTCAAGAATTTACCAGCATTTTATGGAATTCGAAGGCTCATTACCGTGTTCACAAGAGACCTCTACTGGTCCCTGTCCTCAGCCAGATCAATACAATCAACACCATCCCTTCCTATAACTCTAAGATCCATTTTAATATTGTCCACCCACTTACACCTTGGTCTTCCCACTGGTCCCTTTCCTTTTGGCTTTCCCACCAATATCCTATATGCATTCCTCTCCTCCTACATTCGTGTTACCCTGCCTACCTCATCCTCCTTGACCAGATACTTCTAATTATGCTTGGAGAAGAGTACAAGGTATGACGCTCCTCATTATGCAGCTTTCTCCATCCTCCTGTCACTTCATCCCTCTTCGGTCCAAATATCATTCTCAACACCCTGTTCTCAAACATAGCACATAGCCAAGCACATGCTGTGGTCCTGTGCGTATATTAATTTTTCACTGTGGCCACACAGAAAGATAACATTTTTTTGTACCAAAAATCTTTTATACAGCAAAACATCCTTCTGCTATTACTGTGCCATTGCTAGTTAACAATTCAAGAAGTGGTGCTTTCCCTTCTTAAATTCATAGGTCATCATAACTCTGCCTTATCTCTCACTTTCATTGATCATTAAAATTCACGGGTAAAATCCTTGTTTCCAATTCACATTAACTGATTTGATAAATTACTCCATTTAAAGGGTTTAGGACACAATCTTTTCTGCAAGTTGATCACTTGCTTAAGTTAGTGAGGTCTGAGTGGACCCACAAGTAGCTGCCATTGACAGGTTCCACCATATCCCACAACACTGAAGGCTGAAAGTTATTTGATACTGCATTAGATGTGTTCTGTATGAGTACAGTAACAATTATGTTACCATACTTTTTTTTAGAGAAACTATCAACTCATAAATGGAGTAGACAGCGCAATTTAGCAAGTTTTCTACAAGGTAACATAAAAGTGTCAGGTTGAGTGAAAACCGATCTTCAGCCGATCAAGCATACAACACAGTCTAATTGACTCCAGAGCTATATGTGTATGTGGACTATAAAATTTAGCATAGTATCATCCAGCTTATGGAAGAGGTCAAATTTACCAATGTCAGTTACAGTGCTTGTCCTTGTCTGAATGTCACAAGAATGGAGAAATCTCAGAATAAAAGGTAAGCACTAGCGCAGTTCGTATAGCAACTGGCTATGGGTTGGACAGCTGAGGGACTGGAGTTTGAGTCCCAGTAGGGGTAAGATTTTTCTCCTCCCAAAACACCAAGACCAGTTTTGGGATCCACCCAGCATCCAATCCTGTGGTAGTGAGGGGCTGTTTTCCTGAGGTTAAAGCCACCAGGCTGTGAAGCTGACCACTCACCTGCTACTACAACCAACATTCAAAATATATAGATCTATACGCCCACTCCCCCATACATATTCATGGCATAGATATAAGGGGAATTGGATGTATAGCTCCACTATTCATAACCTTGGCAGTAGGTGGACACGAGTGGTAAGCTTAAAGCTTCCAGCCGTTTCAGCCACTGTGCAGGAGGGTGCGTCCCCACTCTGAGGCCCACCCTAGCCTCATATACAATTCGTCCTGGAGACCGTATCCCTGGGGCTAAACCACCAGGGGCTTGAAGCTGACCACTTGCCTTCATCTAGCCCCAAATTTAAAATGTGTCCATCATGTCTCAATTGCATTATAGTCAAAAATACTGGACAGTTGGGGGCAGGAAGGCATAAACAAAAGAAAGATGAAAACTGGTGTACAATCTTCATTCATATGAGGTGCCTCTCATATGTTTAATCCACGGTGACCTCTGCAAAAAAAAAAAAGACACCACCAGAATTCCAGTGATGCTAGTCTGGTGTCTATTCATATTATATTCGCTGCTGCAGCAACTGCGTCAAGTTCACTTTCCTTGTCAGATGAGGCTGCTTCATTAAGGTCGTTTGCCAGAATTCAACTTACGTTCAGTGTAAGATTGAAAAGTTTGTGACGGTGGTACATTAGTACAAATAAGAGTATTATGTTTCTGAACACTATCCACCATCCAGCCTTTATCTAAAAACACCATCCTCTTTATTTTTCAGACACGTTTCGGAGACTGGGATCTGTCTCTGTGTTCAAGTTAAACCTACTCAGCTGGGCCCAACTGATAGGGCTAGTCCCTGTCTCCAGAGATAGTAACTGCAGAAGTCAATGCCTGTGTTGTGAACTTCTGATAGCAGCTTAGGACCCACTAGCATTTGTATTCACTTCCCAACTAGAAAATAAAAACATTTTATGTATTTGATTTTAATTTGTTGTGACTTATTCTATCTCAAAGTTGACAGAACCTTGAATGAGGTAGGATGACTGGAATTTTATGATTTTGAGATTATCATGACCCTATTAAGGTCAATGTTCATAAAGAATGCACAGCAGAGAAGAATATGGACATCATTACAGTGTCGAAGCTACAAGAGGATGGATCAAAAATAGAAGTATTTTGACGTTGCAAAGTTCGACAGGCTGGTCAGCACATATACCATTACATCTTTGATACCATAATCTTGTTTCCAACAACAGATTCAGAAGAATACCTTGGAGATTAAAAAAATAAAAATTCTTCACGTTTCACTTTGATATGTGTGGTGACAGAAGATTTCCATTGATACAGCTCTGGGTTTAGGAGCCGGGATAGCTCAGTGGCTACGGTACATGCTCAATAACCAAGTAGTCTGGATCTGATTCTTGGCATTGGTAAGATTTTTCTTATCTCTGTAACATCCAGACTGACTCTGTGGCAGACCCAGCTTGCTATACAGTGAGTTATCAGGGGTAAAGTGGCAAGAGCATTAAGCTAACCACTTACCTGCATCTAAAAGCCACAGGTAAGGTGGTGGCACTATAACTCCACTCCCCCATATATCTTCACGGTGTGGTGCTGAATTAAGCAAGCCCTCTGACATCATTACCTTTACCATCTCTGCTTGTGGGCTCATGTGAACATGATAATGAACCTTGGTGAATGGCTGAGTGACTCAGTGTCTTAAAAACGTTTCGTGGAGTTAGTTGGTCAATAGCCCCAATGTATACGGCAAAGCATTTAGTGTGTGCAAGACCTCCAAATTCAACATACATTTCCCTGCTCGCTTCAACAGCTGAGCAACCCCCTCCACAGGGGGGTGATGCAGAACAGCCCACATTCAAGCAAACGTTACAAAATGTCGAATGTATTCATAAGAGACAGACACATCTTCTCGTCAGAGAGGATGTTCCATAAGGACTATTACCGCAAGAGTTCAGTTGGGGAAAAAAAAAATCTCTTGTGGTCGACCTTAAGGGGCCTGATGCCAAGCAGAACTGATTGCTGGTAAACTGCCATTCATAAAGTAACTCTGACTCTGACTATTTATTTTATCTATAACTACATATCTGTGTGGAGGAGGGGACGAATCCTCCACTGTAAACCTGCGAGTCGTATGAGGAGATGAAAAGGGAAGTCTCAAATCTGACAGTAAAATAAGGTCCTGAGTCCAAAGGGACTAGGATCCGAGAAAGACTGCGCTGGCAAGGGCCAGCAACATACGCAAAAGAAAGACTCATCCTCTCATCACAGAAGGAGCCTCACAAAATCAAGACCGTAACTGTGAAACAGTAAAAGAAATACCTGCTCATGGGGCTTGGCACCAAGGCTTACTGACTGACTGAGTGTCTGTCAGTCGCAATGTGAATTTGACCCATGTGGAGGTGGGGTAGACTACCTCCACCATTTTCCTGCGAGTCGTGGGAGGCGACGAAAAGGGAAGTTTCAAATCCGAGACACTAAAATGTGGTCACAAGTACCAAGGGACTTGGACCCCCCACCCCCCAAAAAATAGACTGCGCTGACGAGGCCAGCAGCATATACAAAAGACAGACTCGTTCCCTCATCAGAGAGGGCGTCCCACAGAAACAAGACTGTAACTGTCAAACAGTAATAAATATCTGGTCATGAGCTCCAGATTATGCTCGGAACCAAGACTTACTGACTCAGTGACTGACCTACCGTTAGTCGCAATGTGACTCTGACTTATTAGATATATTTTACACAGTTTACAAATGGAATATATCTTCAGTTCAACGGAAGATGAGGCACAGGCGGATGATGACTGCGAGAGAAGTAGATCCCCCAAGTCTTATCTTCATTAATTTTGATATTCCAGTGCTCACACCAGGTCTCCATTCAGACATACAGTCAAAGCCAAAGTCAAATTCAGCGATATGTCAAGTCAAAGTCAGAGTAACATTGAGACTGATGGCCAGTCAGTCAGTCAGTCATTAATTCTTGTCGTCAAATAAACTGTGAAATTTACAATACCAAAATTTAATATTGGCTGTTTTGCACAGCTAACATCAATATTTATTCCATAAATTAATTTCTAGAAAATAACAAAACTAGTACTTTTCAACACTGCATTATGAGCAAGAAATTTTAAATACAATTTTGTTCTCTGCTCTCATTTCCAACATATATCAGGCAACAAGCCCACTGCCTTTCATGGCTGTTGTTAACCTGTCTTCATTCTATCTATAATTTCATCACCCTATGGTGGGACTGGTTAGCCACTGTTTTGGAGAACACTTCTTCATTCCACACTGCCATGTGATCCAAAATTATAAATACAGGGAAACCCCCATTTAATGATTACTTCATTCTGAAGGCTGGGTAGGCTCCAAAGCCAGTCTGGTCAATGCGAAGAAAATTCTCCACCCTACTGGGACTTGAACTCTGACCCCCAATCACAGCTCCTATATCATTCGTTGTAGTTATATGAAATGAAGAACAATAGTTAAACTTCTCGTTGGTAACACTTTATAATTCACTGGAGATGCTACAATGATGACTTATTAACTGAATTACAGAATTAACAAATACCTTCTTCTCAGAAGACACCAACTTGTCAACAAGCAGAAAATTTGCACAAATTGTTTCTGCAACACAGTGCAACCCATGGGCAAGGCAAGTTAAATGTGTCATGTTTGGAAAATATAACTTTAAGAGCAGTACCGGCTTTCATCATATAACTTGCGGCATCAGTTACAAAGAGCAATACGCGCTCATACTGAATGCCATTCGCCCATAGCAAATTCATGGAATTGACAAAAAATCCGGAAACTGCGGAGTTATTTGTGGTTTTAAATTGCTCTACCGCAAGAAGATATGGAGTAGATTGTTTATTCTTATTAGGGGATCCAACTATACAATTTGCAATAAACCGTCCCTCACAATCTTGTGTTTCGTTGATTGATACCCACACAAAATTATCTTGAATCTTATCTCTAATGCTATCAACTGTAAGATCGTAACACTGCTTCATGTAATTTTTGCATACAGTAGATTCATCCGGCAATTTGCACTGTGTATACTTCTCTATGAAGTTTCTCAGAGTAGGATTAGTTAGTTTCCACAGTGGAATATCTGCTGCTAAAAAAGACTTCGCATAAATCAAAGGAAAACTGTGAAAAACTATTATTAGAATATTCACTAAGCAATTTTTGAACAGGAGCACTTTTCGTGGATTTAATTTTAATATTCTCTTTGTGTATATTAGTGTTCAAATGCTGAAGCACTTGAAAGCGTTTTTCACAACCAACTGCTTTCTCACATGCTCGGCAATAAACAATTTGGATATCCGTACTTATCATCTCCCCTTCGAACTCCCGCTGATACATCTGTAATTTAGTTTTCTGACTTACTTTCACTTTCGGCATGACTACAGAACGCCAAACTTAAGTACAGACTAGTCACCACTAATGTGAATGGCCCCAGCTTCAAATGAAGAAGCGCAACGAACCTCATAGAGACTTCGGAAATAAATAAGCAAAGTCCCATATCAGTTGAATAGTATTACGTTGATAGCGGCTACATGTGGACGCTTCCGACTAATCTCTTCGTGGCCGCTCTGATGGTACGCGGATGAGGCAAGTTATGAGTACAGGGATCGAGGTTGAATCGTATAACATTGATAGCGGCTACATGTGAATGCTTCCAACTAATCTTTTCGCGGCCACTTTGATGATACACCGATGAGGAAAGTTACGAGTACAGGGATCGAGGAAGTCCCGTCCTGGTTATTGCATCAGAAACATGTATCATGACGAAATGTTGAGTCAAATATGCAACATATTCTAACGCGGAAAAGAAAAATTGTATACACACGACCATAATTAAAAACATAAAATTAAAAAAGATATATGATAAACATTTTAAAAGGGAAATATGCAGTATAAATAGAGATCTTCGAAAATATGTTGCTTATTCATAAAACATGCAAAATATGCATTTATATGCACCATCAAATCATGTCCAAAATTTAAGAAATGAAGTAATTCATACATACAGGATGTCCCAGGAGGAATGGACCAAACTTCGGGAGGGTGTTCCTTATGTTAAAGTATGGCGATATAACCCAAAACACCTATGTCCAAAGTTGAACGGTTACGGAGATAATGGCCCAAGAAAATTGTGGTCTTCTGGCAGGTCCACGCACTGTACCTCTCAGCTGAGAGGCCTTATCTATGTTTGTCCTTGAGTGCCGTGATTCACCCTAGCCGTACGTATGTAGTTGGCTTTATCAGAACGCGCAGTCAGCACGTTACGTCAGCGCTTGCCATTCATGTGTCATGTATAGTGCTTGGAAACCCTAAGGATAATTATGACATGGCGAGCGAGTATTTTGTACTTCAATTTTATGGCTTCATGTCACTCACAAGTTAGTTTGATGTTACGTACATTATTAACATTACAGAATCCACATATTCCTGCCAGTTTTAATATGTATTTTGTAATCAACAAGTGTGCAACGCCGGTCAAAGTTTGACACTTCTCTGGCCATTATCTCCGTAACCGTTCAACTTTGGACATAGGTGTTTTGGGTTATATCGGCATACTTTAACATAAGGAACACCCTCCCGAAGTTTGGNAATTTTACTTGTTACTTCACAACATGTTTCGACACTACAGTGCCATCATCAGGTGCTCTATTTACGTCAATCTATTTCATTGCTTGCCATTACGTCATTGTAAAATTTAAAAAGTATTTAAAAATGTTCGTCAATTATAATAAATATATATATACTAAAAACTTGTTAAGATTATTTATCTTATCTGTCCCAATTCTAACACCATGCATATTTTCACCACTATGGGAGTCGTTCCTCTTATTCTCACGGTATATCGTGTCTCGTGTTGCATGTTCCCTGTTTGGTTGCGGGTGTTGTGATTACAACATTATATATTTATTATAATTGACGAACATTTTTAAATACTTTTTAAATTTTACAA